CTGTGCTGGCTGCCCTGCCCCGCCGGGATGCTGGCGGGCGTCCGGAGGCAGGCCCTGGCGGGCATCAGCGGCCAGGCGCGGAGGGGAGCTCGGGGCAGACCTTCACCCTGGGGTGCCCAAAAAACGTGCCCCTCTTGCCTGCTGTGTAAGACGGGCGGCCCTTCAAACCCAGGGTAGAGTTAGCAGCTGGAAGGCAAGGGCTGTGTTAACACAGGGGAGGCTGCGGCAGCGTGGGCACCGCGGGGTAAGGCAGGCTGCAGCGGGGGGAAGCAGGTGGAGAGGGTCCCCTGGGCTGCAGGGGAGCACCGCCTTGTGCGAGGCTTTGTGCAGCCTGTAACTGTGGGGTTTGACCCATTACTTCCCCATTTTGTGTGTGCTTTTGTTTTTTTAACCAGGGAAAGGCAATGCTTTGACACACTAAAACAGCCTGGAAGGGGAAACCCCCCCACCCCCGGTGCCAGGGGGTCCGAGGCTGTTTCAGGAACTTACGCTATGCCCATCTGCTGGGACCGTGCCAGGTCCATGCAGTCCTGTAGCAGCAGAAAACCTTCAGCATCAGGCAGCAGTCAATATTATTAACAGTCAATATTATCTAGCACATCTCCTTTCTGCGGTCAAAATTTTTTTGGAAATAAACTACAGATTTTTAAAAATATTGTATAAAGTCCTTTCCTAGCTGTTGCACTGGTAAGGGAAACAGTATAGACACAAATGCTATGAAATTTTTGTGGTCCTGCTCCATTTTGAATTTATGTCTTCAATCAGCATTGAACAAACTGCTTAGGAACACAGCCAATGCTATTCCCTTTTTATTTTTAGCTACAGATTAAAATTTTCAGCGTTTTCTGGGACTTCAGTTGAGATGACTCCTGTTTTTACAGGCAAGATCTAGGTAGAAACAATTTGGGGTGACAGAAAGTTTTCAGTATAGCAAAGGATCCACACGTACTCCAGAGACAGTAACTCATTCAATCAACTTTCATTTATTAAATTTTCTTTGCATTAAATAAAACCTTTTAAGAAAGCTCCCTTCCCCCTTTCATTTGCAATTCCATACATTGATCTGAAACTAGGAAAAGTCTATTGATATATCAGACCACTAAAAATTATAGAATTCGAGAGCGTTAGAAGCCAAGGCATGCCTTCTCCCTTCTTAACTGTGCACCATCCCCAGATAAAGCCAGTGTTAGAAGAAATTATCAGCAAACTATGGAACAAAACTCTTTGAGCATATTAATCTATTCCCAAAGCACAAATGTTTATGCTTAAAGAGAGAGCAGAGATCCAGAATAACTTTAATCCTGTTTCTAGCGACAGACCCACCGCAGCAGCATCTCCCCCCTCCAGCGCAGGTGGGAGCACTGAGCCCCCCGCGCTGCCCCCGGAGCCGGCGGCTCCGTGCCCGGCATGGCAGCTGGGCACCAGCTTTGCTCCCAGCACTGGGAAAATACACACATGTTGTGCATGCAGAGCCGGCTGGAGTTGCAGCTGCACTTTGGGTTACCTTCCGATTTCACAAAACATGAGATGTGTTTTACCTGCTGGATGCAACCCCGAGCACAGCCACGTCTCGTTTATTCAGCCCTTCTGCTCCCCTCCCTCCCCACGCTGTTTTCTGATTGAGGTCGGGAGCTCCTCAGTGTGCTTCAATCCTGCTTTTATTGACCTTTCCTCAGGGTTTCCTCCCCAATTTTTGGCAGTGTATGTATGTGACACCCCCCTCCCTGTGAAACAGAGACCGCATGGCTCCAAGGACAGACTCATGGGCAAGAGCACCTGGTGTTAACATTTCAACCGTAGTGCTCAAGCAAAGCACATGGCAGGTCTCAGGTCAGCTTCAGTGGATGCCCAGAACTCGTGCTGCTGCCCATAGACCCCATGTGGAAGAATATTAATGTTGATGGCAGCGACTGCTGAAACCACAGCCCCTTGTCTGAGCCTTTTCAAGTTACAGGAAGAGATCAGCCTCCTACGGCGCGTGTTTGCCCAGGACTCCCCCCGGGCTCCCTCTCCACCATGAGCTATTGATGAGACAAACCAGGAGGAAGCCAGAGAACAGAGATTTGCTATCGACCTTGCTGCGGGACAGAGGAGGAATTTCACCTTGCAGAGAGGCAAGTTAGAATTGAAACCTATCATCCACAACATGCTGGGAAAGAGGATGCCCGTGGACAGCCCTGCAGCAGCCACTGTCCCCATCGCTTTGTGCTGCTAACGTACACCAGCTGTGCTGGAGAGCAGCAGGGAGCTATGTGCAGTAGTCAGAAAGAAGCAAGGGTGTTCACCAGGGGACAGCGTGCATGACCACACCAAGGGTAAGCTCCCTCCTGTGTTCACCCCCAGCCACAGCAACCGGGCGATGGTTTGGCAACAAGGTCACCAAGGCCTTTTTTTGCCATCCTTTATCCAAGGCCATGCTGTGCTCTGCCCAGGAGAAGGGTGTCCACGCTGTCCCTCTCCCCCCGCCACTGAGAGATGGCTTCTTGATGCAGAGTGGAGACATCCCTTGTAGCCTCCTTATATTCATTGCATTCCCTCCTCCACGACGGCAGGGTCACCATATCAGACTTGGCCATCACATGAAGAGCATGCATAGGGATGCTCGGAGCACAGAAGGGAACGAAACACCCCCAACTCAATGTAAACCGGAGCAGGTCCCTGACCAGAGGTGTGCTGCAGGGATGCTGCTGTCAGAGTTACAACACAGACCTTCACGTTAGAGCACAAACAGCCTGGGCCACAGCAGGGACTATTGACTGACTCACCAACATCTGCCCAAACAAGTACCAAGGTTGGGTTTTTTTTTTCTTTTTAAGACTCACCTGTCCTTAACTGTGGCAGCCAAACAACAGAGATGAAATACGCATATACCTGTTGTTTTCTCTTTAAAAATCAAAATATAAAAAGCATGGGAGATAATGGGAGTTCATTCTGGGCTGCATTTGATGAACAGAGGAGAGGGAAACGACTCCTGCCTGACCCACCGCATGCCAGCCCTGGACTGTCATCGCTCTGACCTCCAGTTTAAAAGGTCAAAGGGCCACAAGTGAAGGCAAAGCTTCCCACAGCACCCAGCCCCAAGTCCCGGCCCCAAACACCACCTTTATTTTGCTCAAGGCAACTTCTCCCACTTCTAGCAGAAAGGGATTGAGCCAGGGCAGACGGAGAGCACGCTGGCTTGCACCCCTCCCAAGCACCCTGGGGACCGGCACGGCCGCGGGAAGGCTCTGCACGGCGGGGTGCATGGAGGGGGAGCAGGCCATGGGCCTGGGCCACTGCAGAGGCCACAGGCTACCACCCAGCGATTACACAGGTGACCTAGGGAGCAGGATACGGCCCGAGCCCGGGGCCCTTCCCCACCTCCTCTGTTTGATCACAGCAGCACCAATGTGGCGGCAGCGCCGCCCCAACCCGCACCACCCCAGCACAGAGCCGACCCAATCCGTAACACCCGAGGCCTTCCGGCCCAACACAGGTAAACACTGCTGAAGACAGAACAGATCCTTCCTTCTCCAAAACAAAGACATGGAAAGACAGTGAAGTCATGCGCCAGGCCCAGCTCTCTTCAAGGCGATGTCCTTCTTGTTTGATTTCTTGAATGGGCTGTAAGCAAGATACAGATTTTTATGCAGTCTCAATGTTGATAAATAGAGCAATAAAAAATAATAATAATTTGGGGCCCACTCCTGCAAAGGACCGAGACCCGGAGCCCGGTGCAGAGACTTTGACACATCCAACCCGCAGCGTGTTGGGTGTGCTCTGGCTGGGAACCACGCACGGCCAGACCAACGCGCTTGGCTCACTCTCCTGACCGATCTCCATCAGCAGGTCCCCAGTTTCTCTCAAATTGCTCCTGGTTCATCTGCAGTGGGTAACAAGGGGGTAAACGCCAACATTTCGGCTTTTCTTGTGCCATAAACATAACCGATGGAGCTCAACCCAATGATGAATTCTGCTAACAAGTATCACCCCAGTCTATGTGGCACAATTAAATAGAATTTTATTTTCAATAAATATACAATCTGCATCATACCAGACAATATGCTGTGAAAAAGTAAGATGTACAGAAGCAACCAACAGGACAGCTTGACTGTAGCTAAGTTCACTTGGTGACCTGGAAAACTACCTCGGTTAACACACACAACACAGAAAGAGCCACTGCAGTCTGTGAGAGAATTAAAATTGTGTATTTTGGGTCGTTTTAACTGCAGAAGTCCCCGCAGCAGGTTTCTTTTGCATAACACAGGTTTGAAAAGACATGAGCTGGCTTTCCCGGTACAAACGCTATTGGAAATGTTTACTTTGCTATATCATCACTGTTTCTACTTGACGCACACAGACTGCTATTGAGAGTGGCAGGTCTCACCGCTGACGTGACATCGGATCCGTTTGACGAGGGGCCCCACACACACGTGCGTGCCCCAGCACACAAATGCACGCGTACGTACTAACAGGAGCTTAATTCTGTTAAAACTAGTACAAGGACAAAACTGGATTCGGAATCCATTTCACCACAGGTTCTACCGTTTAAAAAAAATATTCTAGCCTAATTACCACGTTCACCAACGAGAGCACACGGGTACTTATATCTCCAAGAGGATGAGCCATGGATTTGGACTGGAAGGACAGCGGAGGCAACTCCCAACTCTTCCACCCGCTCAGCGCTTCCCGCGGCACCTCCATGCACAGCCCACGCCACCCAGCCACACGCTCTGCTGCACGGGATGCAAACAGCCGAGCAGTGCCGGGTGCGAGCAGCGAGAGGTCCGGCCGGCCGGGCCGCTGGTGGCCCCAGGGGAACGGCCAGAGACCGGGGGGGCCGGGGTGGCGCGAGCGC